TTCCAGGCGAGTTGCCTAGGCTCCAGTTTATCGGTTGCTCTCAGGCTTATACGCTACGTTCTGCACTCCTGGCTTAGCACTGAGAGCACAAGCTGATGAAGGTTTTTCTGTTTCAAACAAAATGGCAATTTTCCAAATAGAAACATTTTCAGTTTTCCAAAATTGCTCCATGCCATTTTAATTAGTTGTTACATTTAGACGTTCTTAACCACTTGAAACTTGATACAACGGACTTCAGCTCGATGAGTCACGTATTCGCTAAATATGGCTTGAGTCCTATTTAATTTTACTTCCAGACCTACTCTTATGCTTGTGCGTTTAAGTTTCTTAACTATTTGTTGGAGTTTATTGGTGACCCTAGGAGATGCAGAATATCATCTTTATTTTAAAGATATTGCAATTAGTGCCGGTTATTGTTCTAACCGTGATTTTTTTCGACGGAATGTCCTGAGACCTTTTCTATTGATGACGTGAATACTTTTCGGTGATATTCTGTCGAACGCTCATTTCAGTTTTGAAATTGTTTGCGATTCGCGGAGACTCAATGTAGCAGTTCATATTTGCAAATGACGAAGCTACTGTATCTTTCCTCGATTCCTGGCTCATCACATAATCGTTTATTACACGAATGTGGCATGAGTTGAAAGTTTACAGGAAATTAACTAAGCGAAGGCAGAGAGGGAGCTAGGATTTGTTGCATGTGTGAATAAGTTGTTGTACCAGCTGAAGATGGCCCATCGTACTGAAACCACTTGTGAATCCTACTAGCTCCGTTGGATGCCTAATGTTCATTTATTCTTCACGTTACGCTTCGCAAAGTCCAACACAATTCAACTTCCCAAAGATATTGTAGACAATTGGCAATAAGCTAATCAACCTTTGATATCTCAATGATGATGAGTCAGAACTTTGGTGGAGCAGAGTCGCCGATATAGTAGTCAAATCGTCTGGAATTTTTATTTCCTTCAGACACAATGTGAAATAAGCGCACCAATGCCCTTGTCTGTGATGCACTTTCCGTTTTCAAAAGAATCATTGTAATGCCATATTCATTAGGTGCCTCTCTTCGTTTCTCTCGGTTTATTGCGTGTCTTACATCTTCTGGTATGATATCCGAAATTTGGTTGATTTCCTTTGTATTTTAAACGCTCTTGTCGTCACCCATTGTGCCAGTAGAATGAGAGTTGAGAAATCGCGTCATCATTTGCAAAGCGAACAAACTGGGAAACAGTTAGTGGTATTGGAAGACCGGTATTCATT